GCTCGCGCGCGCCTACATCTCTACCGGGGACTACGATTTGTGAATAAAGCTTTGGAGAACATTTCGTTTCTGTCAAATATTCGTTTCCTCTCGGTTTGCAACCACGCAGCCCTAAACCGAGACACGATATATTCTTCGAAGCAGTATTTGCTGTTATCTAACAATAAAATTATCTAGATGATTATCTAGATGAAACTTTATAAAATAAATAAAATAAATATAAATATAAATATAAAATAAATATAAATAAAAATATAAATAATAAAAATATTATAAAAATAACTTTATAAAAATATATAAAATACTCTATACTATAATACTATATATATAAGCGATCAAATCTTATAAATAAAAATATGCATATTTTTCTATTCCTTTTATAATTTATTTTTTAATAACTGTTTACATAAGCAGTCTTACAAATATTATCTGAAAATTACCTAGATGAATAGCCATATAATTTTATTTTTTATCTAGATATGTTCAAAACAAAATCATCTTCATCTTATCTAAGATGAATTTACATATTTTTATCTCGTCTTTATCCAGCTAATTTAAAATCATCTAAGCACAACACAGCTTCGGGGTTTACGATGCTCGCGTTGACATAAGTCGACCGAGGAAAAATGTTCTACGCCACGTGCGCCCTTACCGCGTATAAATATTCATTGCACGATACGCGAGACATGCACAATCCACTTTCCCATCACCGAAAGAATTATATCCCCGACCACATTTACTGTATTTGAGAAAATTCGCGGAAAAAAACACACAATGAAACTGTTCAATTAAGTACGTATATCGAACAATTTTTTTTAATTAAAAAAAGAGTTTTAAAGTTGTCGAAAAAGAGATTTTAATGTACTTTATGAGATTTATAATTTGTTAAAAAACTATAGGTTCTATTCAAAATTAAATGTATTTAATGTTAGAATTTTTAATTCTTAAAAGAAAATTGTTGTAAAACTTAAAATAAAATTGCAAGTTAAAATAAAATAAAATCATCACCGCGAATAACTGTATACATTAAAAAGTCTCTTCTTATAACTTCAACTCAAATTGAAATTTCTTTTCGATACAGGTTTATAAAAAAATATTAGTTTAATTTATGACTCTCTGGTTGAAAAGAGACCGCAGTTGCAGGATTTTCCCTCGAAAAAATAATGTCTTACCGCTTGAAAAAAATGATTAATGATTTTCCTCTTCGCTTTCTCCATCGTCTTCGATGACAGTTGACGCGATTTTATTACAGCCTAATTAGAGCCAAATTTACGCACCGCTCACAGTCACGCGTGTCACCACAATTATGTCATGATTACGTGGGTTTGTATTACGATGCTATGGCACGATGTAATGCATATCACGAGGGCTGTACGAAAGGGCTCTCGCACGTGGCTGGATTAATTGAATGCGAGGCGACATTAGCGATTCCGCATCAGACGGCAAAACACATATTTACGTTAATAGATTTTGAAATTGTTGACGAATTTATACTTCTCGATGTGCTTTCAATGTACATATATGTATATCTCATCGATATGTCACATTTTCTTAAATCTTGCGTCGTGCGTTAATCTTGTGTATAGAAAACGTAAATCGCAATTTGATAATCCTCGAAATCGGAGCCGTTCTTTAAATAAATCTCCCTTCGTTTCTGAAATTACGTCAGAATTCAAATCCTAAATTTGTGCCGCATCATGTCGTGAATCATCCTGTATATGTCTCTTCTGGCATATACGCTGGTAACTGAAGTACTTGGACGACAAAGCTAGACACAGTTTCGGTCCGCTTGTCATAGTGTATTCTCATTATTTAGAGAGGTTGAGTTACGTTCTGTACTTTTGGGACGAGGCCGAAATATCATGATGGCGGGGAGCTCTTAAGACACTGCAAGTGTCTTATTACTGATTGCAATTGCAATTGCAAAAACAGGGTTTTTACAATCGTTCTAATGTTCTAATTTTCTCTCGTTTCGATTTTCTTTTTTGCATGCGCTTAGAATAATTATTATGGCAGTCAATCTATATTAATCATTATTATTAATATATAATAGTATTCATATAATATATATTCAGTAGTAATTAATATGATATGAATTATATATAATGTAATCAATATATATATATATATATATATATATATATAATATTTATATAAGAGGTGCTTCATTATGGAAATCAATATATTCCATATTATTTTTTATTATTATAACCGCGTCAAAATTTCTTGTATTAAATTCTTTTACTCTTAATCAATCTCTTATTTGTCATCCCTATTAATATATATTAATAAGGGGATGATAAGATACACATATTAATACTACAAAAAAAAAATATATATAAATATGAAAGTTATGATATAAAATAAAATATACAACATTTAAAAAAGAGTGATAAAAATAACGTGTCGACTGTCATAATGACAGTTTAAACAGGCGCGTTGACTCGTCGCCTTTTCTTTATCGTTTTCTACGTGACCTCACCAATTAATACAAACAACATGGAATTAAAAGCAAATAAAGCGTGCAGCGGGTTCGATTGTCGATTCGCGCATCCGCCCCGATGCGCTTCCTGCCCGGCCGATGTGACCCAATTTCTCTCTCGAGCTTAGGGGTAGTTCGGGTTGCGCGGAGGGAAGCAAATTGGGTAACGATAATTCCAGCGATTCCTCCCATCGCTGCTTCCCACCTATCGTCACGCTCTGCTCGCGGAATACCTACTGGATGATCCTCGACCGGTAGGATAAATCGAGACTCGACCGGATTTACGGTTTCGCTCGAATCTATACACTGAAATAAAGGAATCCTTGATTCATGTATATTTTTATTCTTGAACGCTATTTGATTGATTAAAGCGTAGAATGCTCTTTATAATCACAAATTTTCATTTACCTTAATAATAAATAAGTTTGTGTTAAGTATATTTTATCCTTAAGATATATTCTTGTTTTAAAAATCGCGTATGGTAAAAACAAACTTAGTCACATTTGAACTAAGAATTATTATATATACTTGAAAGTACCGCTTATATCCGATGCTCACTTGTCAATTTATAAGTAAATGTCAGCTTCAACCAAGAATATTTTGCACTTTGTTTTAAGGATAAATTATCCTTCATCCAAAATTATTTATATTTGGCGCTATTATAAGGATAAAATATACTTGAATCAAGGCATATTTGCATTTTTTCGAGGATACTGTTTTTTTTGTGATGTAAAAGTACACCGATTTTTTTCAGTGCACTAAAACAATTTATTTAATTCGAATATATATTTATTTCAATACTGCCAAATGAATCATTTATTTGAAACTAATAATATTAATTTGATATAAAAAATATATATTTGATATAAGAAAATTCTTTTCAAAACACAGAAAAAAAGGAATCCTTGATTCAAGTATATTTTTATTCTTGAACGCTATTTGATTGATTTAAGCATAGAATGCTCTTTATAATCACAAATTTTCATTTGCCTTAATAATAAATAAGTTTGTGTTAAGTATATTTTATCCTTAAGATATATTCTTGTTTTAAAAATCGTGTATGGTAAAAACAAACTTAGTCACATTTGAACTAAGAATTATTATATATATTGTACTTGAAAGTACCGCTTATATCCGATGCTTACTTGTCAATTGTCCTTGCAATATTTATAAGTAAATTTCAGTTTCAACCAAGAATATTTTGCACTTTGTTTTAAGGATAAATTATCCTTTATCCAAAATTATTTATATTTGGCGCTATTATAAGGATAAAATATACTTGAATCAAGGCATATTTGCATTTTTTCGAGGATACTGTTTTTTTTGTGATGTAAAAGTACACCGATTTTTTTCAGTGCACTAAAACAATTTATTTAATTCGAATATATATTTATTTCAATACTGCCAAATGAATCATTAACCCTTCTGTCAATGCATAATTCTTTATCAATTGTATATGTTGTCGACATATCGCGACAATTTCTTTATAGCTACTGTTCAACATTTTTTTCCCTCATATTTTACGAGATTTTCGAATACAAATATCCTTTGTTTATTTAGGACGAAGAAACATTTCGACACATTTTGAACATTTAACAAAATTGCTTTGAGTATCCAGGTACATACATCCAAAAATAAATTTGTTAACTCGACTGAACCTTTCAACGAAATATGATTTTGTAAATTGAATATATAAAATAATTTAATTAAATATAACATTTAAATTTCACAAAACGTATATATTTTTTTTAAATTTAAATTCTAATATATGTTCAATTAATAAAATAGTAATTTAATTCAAAGGTTTTAAGTTAACGAACTGTTCAGTGAACCTTTCAACGAAATATGATTTTGTAAATTGAATATATAAAATAATTTAATTAAATATAACATTTAAATTTAACAAAACGTATATATTTTTTTTATTTAAATTCTAATATATGTTCAATTAATAAAATAGTAATTTAATTGAAAGATTTCAAGTTAACGAACTGTTCAGTGTACCCGGTCATTGACAGAAGGGTTAATTGTCAGCAGATTTGGACGCGTATTTCGAATCGAATGACTCTAGTACTTTGAAAAAAAAAAGCCAGGATAAGACATTGATCGATCCGTCGCGATTTATGTGTGTCTGCTGCATGGAAATATACACATCTCACGCTCCGATTCCCATATTCCTGCATGAGTTATCTGATGTCTGTCGAATGCAAATCTTGCATGCCGAATTAATGTTTGCGAGCATCTCGATCGATGCTTTCCCAGTGGAAGATATTCGGCGAGAAGATAGTTGATCGCGATTTAATTCGAATTTCTCTCTCTCTCTTTCTGTCGTCTCCTCGCAAATCCTCTCTCATCTCTTCCTCCCTCGTTTCTATTGAGAATCCATTATCCCCGGAGCAAGCTATCGTGCACCCGATCTCGCGGATAATCCCTGGAAAGCTATGTGTCCGTTTCATTTGCGCGGCGAAACAACTACATTTTATCCGGCTTGAATTCATTCGTTCTGTCTTATTTGCAGAATGGAGAGTCGTCGCAGTACGTGACGGACAGACTTCGGCAATTTTCGGATCCTTTGGCGAGGTTTCAACCAATCAACGGTGAGTGAATATTACTCCATACACACATAGTTGCTTATACAAATTTAGGTTCTCGGCGGAAAATATTTTACGCCTCCCAGCCGCTCTTATTTCGCTTTAGATCCATCTGACGTATCTCATTCTTATTTAGCGATCGTGTAATCGGAGTTACGTAATAAAATCAAAATACGACGTACGCGTCGAAACGTCAAAGTTGCGAATTATTAATCTTCATAAATTATAATATAATTATACTTAATTTTAATTATAATCGATAAAACATATATGAATAATTATTCACAGTCAATTAATATTTTAAACATTTTTTGGAAAAAAATAAAAAAAAAATTTATTATATTCTCTTTCTTGTATCCGAAGAAAAGAAACTGTCAAACTGTCTTATTGAAAATTATAAATCAAAATGAATCTGGCTCTGCGTTCTCATAATAAAATCAAAATACGACGTACGCATCGAAACGTCAAAGTTGCGAATTATTAATCGTCATAAATTATAATATAATTATACTTAAATTTAATTATAATCGATAAAACATATATGAATAACTATTCACAGTCAATTAATATTTTAAACATTTTTTGGAAAAAAATTTATCATATTCTCTTTCTTGTATCCGAAGAAAAGAAACTGTCAAACTGTCTTATTGAAAATTATAAATCAAAATGAATTTGGTTCTGCGTTCTCATAATAAAATCAAAATACGACGTACGCGTCGAAACGTCAAAGTTGCGAATTATTAATCTTCATAAATTATAATATAATTATATTTAATTTTAATTATAATCCATAAAACATATATGAATAATTATTCACAGTCAATTAATATTTTAAACATTTTTTGGAAAAAAATAAAGAAAAAAATTTATCATATTCTCTTTCTTGTATCCGAAGAAAAGAAACTGTCAAACTGTCTTATTGAAAATTATAAATCAAAATGAATCTGGTTCTGCGTTCTCGAATTTCCAATAGGAAAGGATCGTTCGGGGATCTCCTTCGTTCTTAAATCCTCGCGTGCATTCTGGTCACGATTATCGCGGATATCATCATCTCGCGAGTAAAGGAATCGTTAGAGACAAGAGAGTATTCCCTTCGCGGCAGAAATGCTGAGCACGATCGGGTCGCACCGCGGATTCTGGTCTCTCATGACTCGCCCTGTCACGCAAAAAATCATCAACATCTGCATCGCATAAGGCAGCATCACCGCGCGATCGTTAGGCGGCCGCTGCGATTCTAAAGCCCGTAAGATTAAATTCGCGTTCGTTGTACGCGTCGAGTAAAAATAGGCGGGTAAATGTATTTTTCTGATACAGCGCGCTCCACCGAGATCGCCGGATGTACTTTTACCAGATTGTATGACAAAATCTTTCTCCTTTTTTTCTACGAAAATTTAACGGGGACAATCGATATTTTTATGTATAACAAGCTTTTAATTTTTCTATTAAATAATTTTAAATTAAAATTAATATAAAGTATGAATTACACAAACATGTATGTGAAGACATGCATGAAATAAAAAAATTTATTATATTGCGTATAAATATTATACTCACAATAAACGCTACAAAATATATTCTTTTTAAAATAAAATTATTATTGGACAGTTTTGAAAGCAATAATTTTATTTTGTTAAATAAGCGTAAATACAGACTATTATCAAATGTTAAATAAAATATTATTTTATCTCTTGTAAGGATGATTAAGTACAAATATTTATTAGGAAATATTAAATGCAAATATTTATTGTAAATATTCAATTTTATCCAATGCCATAATTGTAATTATCAATTCAAACAATAAGCTAAAAAAATCAAAAATTTTATTTGAAATAATAAACTTCAAATTTATAAACTATGTGTTAATCATTTAAAATATTATTTCAAACATTATATAGTAATTGTGAAAAATATGTACACACAATTGACGAAACAAATATCCATTTGTTTTACAAATAATTATTGTTTATTTTATTGTGCTAATTACAAGAATAACTAACATGATTTAAAAGGAGTAAAGAGAAAAATTAAATAGAAATATTTTTGCGAAAATAATTCAGATATATACTTTTATTATAATTATATGAAAGAATAATATTTCGATTAATTACTTGATATCTCTCCTGATAAGAAATGCAATCTTTGAAATATTTATCACGTGATTCGTGAAATTTACTAAATAGAATTTTAATTAATATATACAAAAAAATTATTTTATATTAATTATTTATTTTTAATATTAACATTATGTTATTTCTGATAGAAAAACAATAGAGATTGCATCAATATTTTTATTCTTTATTCAACTATTATATTTTTTCGATCTCTGAGGAAAAAAGCAAAATGACTAAAGTACAATAATCTTATGTAAACAACATTTATATGGATCTATAAGTATAGAAACAATAAAACGATGTGTCGCATATGAAGATATCGAAGAGAAGACATATCGCCAGCGGCTATAGGTCAGATACAAAAATAATAGTTTCCTTTATTTGTTCAATAAATGTGAGTTACGCGATTGGTCGGATTAATGAAAAATAGTTTAATCGTGACCAAATAACTCGAAACGCATAAGGTATATAAAATCGGAAAAAAATGTCCCATGCATTTTTGCTTCTGGCTATGATTTTGTTCATATATTTATCATATGTATTTGTTCATATATGAATAGCAATTAATATTTCTTCAAGGAAAAAAGGGAAGAGACCCATACAGCGCAACAAGATTGCAGCAGCATTGTGACAACATTTTATTGCAATATTACAACATTGCATAATAACATTGTGAAATGTTGCAGCAATCTTGCTGCAAGGTTGCAGCAACGGTAAAATGTCCGTTTTTAGTAACATTGTTCTATAATATTGCAGCAATAATGCAATAAAATAAACATTACTATTACATATTTGTTTATTGGAAATGTGTCAAATACATGATCGGACTGAACGTTCTATACCTAATATTTTTTGCGTGAATTTTATTTCCATAATAATTCTGAAATGTTGCTGCAACGTTGTTTAAACGATATCGCAAATTCATGCCTATATAATATTTCTGCAATATTGCTATGCAATGTACAATATTGCTGCAAACTTGTGTGCTGTATGGGAAGAGATCATCGCCGAGAGACCAGAAAATCGATGTTCTGTATCTAATATTTTTTGCGTGAATTTTATTTTCATAATAATTCTGAAATGTTCCTGCAACGTTGTTTAAACGATATCGCAAATTCATGTCTATATAATATTTCTGCAATATTGCTATACAATGTACAATATTGCTGCAAACTTGTGTGCTGTATGGGAAGTCATCAAAATCATCGCCGAGAGACCAGAAAATCGATGTTCTGTACCTAATATTTTTTGCGTGAATTTTATTTCATAATATTTCTGAAATGTTGCTGCAACGTTGTTTAAACGATATCGCAAATTCATGTCTATATAATATTTCTGCAATATTGCTATACAATGTACAATATTGCTGCAAACTTGTGTGCTGTATGGGAAGTCATCAAAATCATCGCCGAGAGACCAGAAAATCGATGTTCTGTACCTAATATTTTTTGCGTGAATTTTATTTTCATAATATTTCTGAAATGTTGCTGCAACGTTGTTTAAACGCAAACTCATGCCTATATAATATTTCTGCAATATTGCTATGCAATGTACAATATTGCAATGTTGCTGCAATATTGCTGCATAAACTTGTGTGCTGTACGGGGCTATTTCTTCGAAAAGAAAAGGAAGGGAAGAACACCCGCGGATATTAGCGGGCTCGCATCTTGCACGATCTTGTCGCGAGATCGTCCATGTATTAACGCGTGTATTAACAAAGTAAACCACGACACGGATGATCTAAAATGGCGCGCTCCTTCTCTCCCCGTACAGGTATTTTTAAGTAGATTAATGTCGGACACGCGACGGCGCATTAAGCAGATCGGTATTAATGAGTTTTGTCACCCTTGAGTGACACTCGGTCGCCGTTCGGTTACACTCGGCCGCTATAGATAGCCCACCCGGGCGGGCGCGCGCGCATTCTCTCTCTCTCTCTCTCTCTTGATCCTTCTTTGCGTACATTTCCCCCACGGAAATATGTCGCGCCTACGAAAATCTTCGGTTGTACACATACATATATATACGTGGAAACTGACGAGATTATCCGACGCGCGACGTTGCATTTGCAGGCTCGTTTGGCTAAAAGAGCAGAGCGAGTTTCGTCGGCGGAACGGAGAATCCGGGTAATCGGACAGAGCACCGTCTCGTTGACATCGGATGTAGCAACGAGTTTCAAAGGAAATCCCCCGAATGAATAGGAGAATAGTCTGTAGACTTATTTGAGAATTCACCAATTTTCCTCTTAAACTCACCGGAGAGGACAATTTACAGCTCGGATAATATATGAATGAAGGAGTTATTTTTACCATAAATAATATATTTGTTTTCATTTATTTTCTTAAAAAAATTAAAGCAGTACTTTAATAATTATAATAATTTTATTAATAATTAATAAGAGAACTGACAATTAAAAACCAACTTTAGAATAATTTAAAACACAATAGAAAAAAAAAATAATTTCAGAATTCCGCCTTTGATATTTAGGGATCTGATGTATAATTTCTTGATTAGTTTTAAAAAAGCTCTCTCGTTTTCAATATTCTAATATAATATAATTAAATCCTACGATATTATACTAGGTAATTTGCTTCTCGGTTCTTTTGTGCGAGTCAAAAGGTTTGTGTTTTCTATTTTTTTTTGGTTTCCGAAAAACTTTATTCCGGCTTGAACTCGCTTCGTGCGCTTCAAACTCTCTATTAAAAGTTTGCGCAACGTCCTCTGGATGCGAAAGGGTTAAAAATCGCTTTGTCGCGTCCGCTTTGCCCGCCCTTTCCGTGTCAGGTAGTAAACCGTATGAGAGTATATAAGCCTTGACTACGGAGGCAACAATAACCTGCCATCAAGCCGGTGTCATACCCGAATTTTTATTCACGGAGACACTTTATGTGAAAAATA